GATCAGTGGAGTTCAGGAATTTGCCCTTGTAACTTATCCTTCCTGCACATGTTGCCTCTGTTTCCAGGACTGGGATTTTGTTTTGTGTTACCTTGACTCTGAAACATATTTTTGTCTGCTTGACAGCTCCCTGAAGCCAACTTCTTGAATGAAAACCACTGCCCATCTAGTTTCCAGCCAGACCTTTCCTCTAACCCATTCCCATTGACGTTGCTTGACAGTATTCTTTAGGGATCCTGGATCTTTCTATTGTCACAACTTGGATTTGGTGCCTGGAGATAAGGGAAGGAATGCTGTCATTGGACTACCATCCAGATCTGCTGTAATTCAGCCCTCCCTGTCTTTCAGCCACCATTATGCTTCTCCCTAAGCCCTGGTATCTGATATATAAATACTTACATCAGATCCCACTGTTTATCCAGGACTTATTTTTATTGTACAGATATTTTTCTAAAAATATTCAATGGTAAGAAAATGAAAATTTTCTCCTAGGTTTGGGCTCAGGAATTCTCAAGAAAGTGACACTCAAGTGCTGACCATCAAACTGATTCCTAGAAGAAAACCTTAATTCTGATCTGCACGTTTCTAAAAAGAGAACTATGTTGTAGAGAACAGATCTCTAGTCAGCCAGTCTCACTGCAGAAAACAGTTGCTATGTAGAAGTCAAATATAGAATAATATTAGAGCCCAAAGTGACCTTAATAACCACCTAATCCAAATTTTTCATTTTATAAGCTGAGACCAGAGGTGCTAAGTATCTCACTTAAGGACTCTCAGCTTCTTAGCGACAGAGCCAGTACTAGAACCCAAGTGTTCTGATTCATAACAGAATATAATTGTGTTTACAAATTTATATTTTGGGTAATTAATATTCCTAACAAAAGTTATAAGCATGAAGATAGCTAATATTCTTTGTCCTCTTACTATAGTACTTACCACAGCCTGTACTATTATCTCTCCAGGGTCTCATTCGGTCCTTGGGATAATTCCGTGAAGTAGGTACCTATTATTATTCCCATTTCACAGATAAGGACCCTGGCAGTTCATGCATTACAATAATTTGAGTAGCAGCCCAGATTAAAATCTAAGGAAAAGATGGTCATAACTCAGAATGAAAACCTAGTTTCTGTTATCATAAAGGAGGAAAGGAGAACTAAAAGGCAACAGTTAATACAAGTTTGAAATTTATCTTCTCATATATGTTTGTCATTACAACTCACTGGGCTGTCATGCCATGAGCCAAAAATGAGGCTGCAAAATGCCTTTGGCGATCATGTCTTTTCCTGGTTTTATTTGAGTTAAATGAAGAGACAGGAGACCTAGCTTATTGCTTAGTATTGCTAAGCCAGGGCATCCAGTTGTTCACATTCTTATTCACATTGCTGTTTATTTTCCTAGCTTTGAGTTCCCAAGACCTCCTTCCCAGGCTCTTCTCCCAACACTCTTAGGTCAGAAGGCTGACGATGATCAAGATGAGAGACTGGGGATGAACATTGTTACAAACTGAGTCTGGGGGCTAAGGAACACCAACCTTCATCCTCAGGGGGCTGTGGAAGAAATGGCTAAATGCAGTCATTGCAAAGAAATCAACAGATTGTCCCGACTACCTCCATCGCCTTCTGCGATTAACCTTCTCTTCCTTTGGATGCTTTTTATCTGGCTTGACTATGTTTTTCCTTTAAATTGGCAGTCTGTGAGCATTTTGTGGGGAGAAGAGACAGGAGAGGGAAAATGACTTGAAATATGGTTGTGGGTGTTTTTTAACAAGTTCTCGAAAAACCTTAAAAAAGACCTTTTTAAAAAAAAAACTCTGTGAATTACCTTCTTTTGCTTTAAAAATATAGAATGTTCAGTGTTCCACACTAGTTCATGATATACACCCTTTAGGGTAGAAAAGAATGATCTCATTTTAGGCACCCAACCATAACAGAATAATTCCTTTCTTTAAAAAGAAACTTCTACTACTAAAGTTCAATGTATGAGAATACATGGAACATATACATTAGACACATTAACCTAAGGATAACAATTACTAGCTTTACCTTAAGTAAAGCTTTACCTATGTAAATAATTTTAGAGGAAAACCCATCATAATTTCAAAAATGACATCTTTCATTTTTTCAACTGTGCCTTTTTAGCTCTCCTTTACTTTTCTTCTAAGAATACTGGGAAATTGTCATTTTGAAAGTCAACTCCACAACATCTTCAAGTTGTAAACCATGAGGACAACAGCAAAATCTTTAGCCAGAGATCAAGTTACGGTGAAGAACCCAAAACAAAGCAAGACCTCTGCTTTGGATTTGGATTCTAAAATGTCTTTATGGGATTCTAAACATGGTAGACATGATCTGCCAGAGATCTCCATTCATTTATTCAAATCAAGTGATCGTACTTCTAGCTATACCATTTACAGACATGTTTAATGCCATCTTGGCATTTAAATGAAAGGTATTGAGGTTCCCATGGCCTGTGTCCACAATATGGTGGGCTCAATTCTGAAAAATAGAAAATATGCTATTGCAAAGTCAACATATGGCTCCCCCATGATAGAGATCTGCCTAAACATTGCAGAGAGCATATGGCAAAGGAATTTTGTAGACAAAGTGGTATAGTCAAGAATGAGAAGATGATTTTGGGCTTGCTGCCTTTCTACTTTTCTATCATAAAACTAAGTCAAGAAATTAGTTGGTCTTAAACATGCACACACTAACTGAAAAATAAAAGTTTATCTGTTGAGTTGCAGAGTGACATCCTTATTTTGCCTGGAAATGTCAGAAATATGAAGTATACATGGCTCCTGATAAGATAAGGCATTTTTGAAAACTTGTTCTAGTATATTATACAAATGAGTACAGTAAACACTTTTGGGGTATCTTTTTAATTCAAAAGCTATCTGAGTTTCTCCAGTAATTGAACTGTGAGCCACGGTTTGGTTCTCCACCACGATTAAATTTAAACTGTGATTCTGAATCCCCTGGTCATAGCTGATTACCCAAGCTGAGACAGTCTAATTCTCTCTCCCAGAAATGGAGAATTGGGATTGATCAAGAACAGATCATTCATTTCTAAGTGTCACTGGCACTGAGTATAGAAACCTGGGATACATGGGGTAGTCTGGATCTCTGTAAGAACAAAAGAGACACAGAGAGACTTCTAGTTGTCCTGGTTCTTCATAAGACCCAACCCTAGTTGGCCTTTGTACTCAGTCATATACTACTTTACTATTAGAGTCCCTTTCTCTTTTTGCTTAAACTAGTCTTTTTTTTTTTCTGAGAGGAGGACTTTTGATGAATATACATATTGTCATGAGATCCTATAAAGGAATGAATTACAAATACTAAGATGGAGGGAGAGGAGGGTAAAGTTGGAAGCCTTCATGGCCTGTCTTTTCCTTTTACTTTTTTTTCCTTCATAGCTTATTGTATACTTTCTAATTTCATCTAAAATCCCTTTCTTCAAGTAGTTTCATGGTAGAAAAATAACTTCTTAAGTTTTGTGCCTTTTTTGACCCACACTCAGCACAGTGCTGGAATTCCTAGGAGGACAACCTGTGTTTATTATTGATTTTATTTTTTATTTATTTTAAGTTTTTATTTTAATTCCAGTTACTTAACATACAGTGTTACATTAGTTTCAGTTGTGCAATATAGTAATTTAGCAGTTCTGTACTATTATTGATTTTTTTTAAGATTTTATTTATTTATTCGACAGAGAGAGAGACAGCGAGAGAGGGAACACAAGCAGGGGGAGTGGGAGAGGGAGAAGCAGACTCCCTGCCCATCAGGGAGCCCGATGCGGGGCTCGATCCCAGGACCCTGGGATCATGACCTGCGCCGAAAGCAGACGCTTAACAACTGAGCCACCCAGGCGCCCCACTATTATTGATTTTAAAAATACTTGTAAAAAATGTCCCATAATTCCAAGTGAGGCAATTTCCATTTTTCTTTCCTCCTTTTCCTCCACTGCCTTTTCCCTTCCAGATAGGGAGTTAGGGAACTGCAAAAAACCACTACATAGAAGGCCCATTTTCTATGAAGAAGGAATGTCTGCCCTCATAAGGAATATGTCATTGGAATTTATTGCTGAATGGTTGGCCATTCTGGAGAAAGTCCCTTGCAATTATATGATCTAATAATCACTGCTGATAAATCATTTTTTAAAAACAAGAGAAACTGTTGAAGGTTTGCCGAACAAATCTCTGAAATGTGACAATTGGATCTGCAGTTTATTTCTCTAATTAAAAGACAGTCTTTTAATGCCCAACTTCTTTGTAAAAATGAATGTTTCTACAATTTCTTTTTCTGAAAAAGGGAATTATCCCACAGTTTAATCAGAGAAATTGCAGCACAAGTTCATCTCTTAGTGGGAGAGAGACCCCACATAAAATTCAGAAAATTTAGTGAGAGCAGCAGAACAAATGGGATATTATATGAGTGACAATGATCTCAGCTTTCTTTCTAATATGAAAAGACAGCTGGGTTGAGGCCCTTGGGCCACCTGCTGCTGGAAGAAAAATGTTTGAATCCTCAGTACCTTTCATTTGCTAGTTTGTGGAGGTGAGAATGTGGGGCTCACAGCATGAGCTGGAGAAATAAGTTAAATTTCATCTGCTCATCTCTTCCCACCTTTCGCCTACAGAAGGTTTCTAATTGAAGTCTCTGCCAAGGAAATGTCAGCCTAATATCTACTTGAAACTTGATTTGGGAGTTTTTCTGGGGTTATTGGGACTTTATTCATTCCTTTGAAAATGAAATATATTTTACAGTTTTTGTTAGGCCTATTACCTGTTTGGTTGTTGTTGTTGTTTTGTATCTATGACAGTAGTGGATTACAGTGGTGCTCCTTCCCAAAACATACAGCTTCAGAAACAGCGAAAATGCTCTGATTGTGGTTACAGGGTAAGTTAAAACTATAATTCCTTAGCCATTTGTTCATTCTGCCCTCACCCCAGTGGATGGTGCAAAATGCCTCATCTTTATACTTATATTGTATTTTAGTTTTTAAATATGGAATGCTTTGTGGATTTGTGTATCACACCTGCACAGGGGCCGTGCTAATCTTCTCTGTACTGTTCCAATTTTAGCATATGTGCTGCCAAAGGGAGCACAAGCATTATACTTTTAAATAAATAATTACACGTGTTTGTTTTACAAGTGTATCCTTTACTTAGAAAAACATTTTGCCACAAAATATATTAGTTCCCGAAGGATAAGGTAACTACATATGTAATTAGTGCATGAAATTCAAGACCACACTTTTGGTTTTTGCCTTCAGCCCTAAGTTTTCCTAACCACCAGTTACTCCTGGGCATTTCATAAGAACACCATTTGGACAGTTAACACAATTTGTGTCTGCCCCTTCAATTATTGCAGCTTCTAGGCAGCTTCTTTATCTTGGCAGCAACAAACCCTACACAGAACCAGCACCTGATATTTCTTTTAAGGGGGAAACAGACTGTTCACACAGGAAGAGAATGGGAGGGGGAGGACAACTTCACACAGGTGGAAGATTCATTTTTACATAGAAGTAATGAAGTCAGTAGGAGGAGGGTAGCTGATAACCCCCAGAGAGCAAGGCTTCCAACCAAGTCATTAATGGTTGGACATGGCTTAGTCCATTTCCTTCACATAAATGATACATTGAATCTAAGCCAGCATGTGGTACTTCTATTGCAGTGAGGGTTTCCTGAGAAATCATGCCCTGAAAATGAAAGATACATTAAGAGGTTTTGGACATATACACATCCTCCTCCATGAGGAAGTCTTGGTATCGTCTTTTCTTTCCACCAGTGCTGCCCTTGAGTCTATCAGTCTGGGCGTGAATATTCGCTGCAGCTTCCTTGCTGGTCAGGCGGCTGCAGGATCCTTGCCAGTCGTCCGCTGTACCGTTGCCAGTGCGCAGTGCTACAAAGCATATTTGATCACGTCTGTCTGCCTTGATTATAACCGCAGACTGTTTCTTTCTCTAGCACTTTCAAGAAACCGGGGTGAGGTCCTATAGATCAAAGGAGTTCAGAAACCCATCCTAGTCTGTCTCTCCCAAAAGTGCAAAATCCTTGACTGCTCTCCCCAGACAGGTAATAGCAAGATACCCAAAGTCCATTTTACCTTCTTCCAAGGATATCCTTTTCCCTTTCCCTTAAGGTCTGGGGGTTCCTATACATATGTAAAGTGATGGAGAACAACATCATGGGATCAGGCCAATGTCATTACACAGAATGTGGTGAATGAATGACAGAGGCTTGATACAAACATGTAGAGGAAGAAAAGCAATTTTCTCTCTACACTTCTGAGTTCTCAGAGGAGACTCCTGTACTAAAAGACACATGAACGAGAGAAAAGCAGGAGGCTATTAATATGTATACCTCATGTATGTATATATGGGAGATACTCAGGGAAAATTGAGTAACTTCCTGAGGTGGCTTAGAATTCAGGCTTAAATACCATTTTAATAGGGGAAGGGTAGGAGGATGTAGTATTCTTAGGGGAGAGTAAATGATTCCTAGGGAAAAATGAATAGGTTCTTAGATTAGATGGGAGGTATGACAGTTTGTGACACAGTTTGTCTGAGTGTATACTTCTCTCCTGTGATAAGAGTCTCCCTGGTTGATGAAATCCCTCTGGGAAGAGCTTTAGAAATGGTGAAATTTTTTGGTAGAAAGGGGAGGAAAACAAGTTATTTCTAGAAAAGATTTGGACTATATGAAAGCAAGATACTCTCCCAGTAGGTAAGGCTGACCTTATAAGTTTGGTCCAAAATTCAGTAGTGGAGGCAGGTTCATTGTCTCCTGAGGTATTATCTATCACCAGTGATGGAGTCAAGCTCCTTTGTAACAGTAATGGAGGGAACAATTACTTTCCAACAATGGGGTCAGTTAGAGGCCCTCAAGAAAGTACTGTAGGTCTATAATTGTATATCATGTACATTAACTCCTGGCATGCAAATCAACCTTACAAATACTGGGAGGACTGAGTCCATTGTCCACCACAGCACAGAAGAGCAACCACCAAGCCCAGTGATAAACGCTTCTCAGAGTGAGACCATCCTTTTCTCCCAGAAAGACTGGGACTATTTCCCATTCATTTCCCCTTTGAAGACTGGCAAACATCAGTGATTCTAAGATATCTAGTCTCTATTTACTCTCTAGCAAAAGATGGCAGTATCTGTTGCTAAAGAAGAGAACAAAACCAAACCAAAGCATTGAAAACATCACAACAACACAAATGAGACACAAAATAACTTCCAGGAGCTTGCCTCAACCTACATCTTGACCTTTAACTTTTATCAACCATATGTTGAATTCTACTCTTCAATAATGGCATTATCTGTCATTCCACAAAGGGTCCTCTTATTGTCAGAATTGCTCCTATGGCTACCTAGAACTTCCTCTTTAATTCCAAAGCCTTGTGACATCTCACTTATTATTCAGGACACTTACTCCCATTCCAGCCTTCAGTAAGCTCTAGGCAGATCTGCACATGCTCCCTTATTATTTTCTTCGGCACTATCAATGCATTGTTGTTGTGTTGCACCTAATTAGGTACATGTCTGTAAATTCTATGTGATAAGGACTTTTCAGATCAGCGAATGTGTCTAATTCATTTCTCTATGTCTGTTATCCAGACATGCCTTGAATGCAATGGATCTTTACAAAGAAAAATTCATTTAGTCAAATACCTCTCATTGATTCAAAATGGTTGAAATAGGATGGGGATACATTCAGGATAATTGATACTCTAATTAACCTAGTAATCTATATACCATAAAATTGATTATAATATTTGTCCAGCTGCATGTAATTATCTACATACAGGATTAAAAATACCTGAAACATAACTTTAAATTTTATTAACATCAAGCATGCACTCCAGGATGCTGTGGGCCTTGGGTGAGCACTGTATCTTACAGGGCCATGTCTGAGGATTAAAACAAATACTACCACAGTTGGCTGAGGCCTGCATGGTTATTTATATTAAATGCAGTGAGGATAAAGTCTGCTAAGAGCATTGTCTCCATCATCTCCCTCATTTCTAGCCCCTTGGCTGCTGACTCCTTATATTCTCTATATTACTGGGAAAACCACATATTCCCAACTCATCACTTCTCCTTAGGAAGGAAAGCATAGCACTCCCAGCTCCGCTCTCCCTGCTCCCAACACATTTCCTGTCCTTTGGGTAAGAGAAGTAAATGATCTGACGAGTGAGTTTGGAAGAGGGAGGTGGGATTGTGTGGCTCAGCCATTGACATTATCTCTGAAGCTGAATTCTGGTTTCTGAGATGCAAGAAGTGGACCGACCCTGAAAAGATATATGCTGTGGTCCCATGGATCCAGGAGCTGAATGGGTCAGTCTGCCCAGTTCATGGATAAAGCCTTAGTAAGGCCCTTTGGCTACACTTAGATCTGTGATCTTTCTTTCCAGGTCTAGTTGGTAATAAAGGTTTATTATTTTAATTTTTTAAAATCTCTGTCTGACTCTTGTATCAATCTTTCAACCAGCTTTGCACTCTGGGGAGGGGGAAAAGATGTAATTCATTTTCCTTTCTTCCTGAAACCTAAACAATTATTTCCTAAAGCTCATAGTAAAGTAGTTTTCTTTGGTTTCTACTCACTATTTTTTTTTTCAGCTCACTCTCTCTAAATCCATATCATAAGAGAATGCACTCTGTGCTCTGTTTCTCAATTTAACCTTGCCCATTGGCCTTAAGACAAACTTTGTCATCTGGATTCTCTCTCCCACAAGAGATACTTGGTCATTTGCAAATGTAACATTGAGAATTTTACTTGTAAATTTTCTACAAGACCAAATCTGCCTGAATCCTCTGGTTAGCTGCCCAACATTAATCTGGTGTGCCTACAAATAATAATAAAATATGATGATAATAATAATAACAGAATCTTACAGAATTCTTAGAAATATTCTGAATATTTGAAGATATTTAATTGAAGGGAGTAAGTGATTCATTGCGTGACAAAGAGGCCATTATTATTAATGAATGCTTATGAAACAACAATTAACAGGGCATAAATATTATGAGTACCTTATAGAGAGGGCAGTTATTGTTAATCTTCCTCTCCGCATTTGGGCCCTCTTGACCAAATAAAAACAGTCATTGCTGAGTCTCCTAAGTGTATGCCAGCCATGCAAAACCACTTTCTAAGGTTAGAGTCAGACTTCTGAATACATTTTCATAGAATGAATAGCCTAACCTAAATAATGTTAGCCTCCCACCCATGGCCATTGGGTGGCTTAAATAATCCTTAAAGGATAGCCTGCTTTTCTTTTATGGAAAAGACCTTAGTGTTTCACCAGATCAGCTAATATGTTTGTCTCAAGCTCATAAAACTCATCTCCCTGTATCTACATGATGATTTCTGGATTGCTAGCTTCTTAAATTCATTTTAAAATTCAGCTCCTCCAGGGGCGCCTGGGTGGCTCAGTTGGTTAAGCGATTGCCTTCGGCTCAGGTCATGACCTCAGGGTCCTGGGATCGAGCCCCACATCGGGCTCCCTGCTCGGCGGGAAGCCTGCTTCTCCCTCTCCCACTCCCCCTGCTTGTGTTCCCTCTCTTGCTGTGTCTCTCTCTGTCAAATAAATAAATAAAATCTTTTAAAAAATAAAAATAAAAATAAATAAAATAAAATAAAATTCAGCTCCTCCAGTCTTATTTGCTCATGGAGAGACTATGATCAGAAAGGTGGTTTTACTAGAGTGGAGTTCCTGCCATTTCCCAAACAGTGAAAACTCCTCTGAACATTTGGTGGTAGATAGAAACTGTGTACTTCCTTGGGGAAAAGTAAAGTCCTTGCATTCCTGGCTTCTTTTAGGACTTCCAAATGTGTCTTCCCTCAGTTGCCTTGGTGATTTCTTTGCTCATCTGTTGTCACAGGTGGTCCTTACTCTTCACCTGCTTCTTTTCCCTCCACTCTTTACCAAGTGACTTTACTTGTGATGATATACACACAAGACAGGCTTCAGAGGTCATGGATGACCATTGGATGAGAGGGATGAAAAACTCCTCTAAGAAATTTCACTTCAGTGAGAACATTTATGGGAGGACAGTGAGGCAGCAGAGTGACTTTTGACCACACCCCACTCCTTCCTAAGC